GTCTGAATTACATAAAAAGACCCTGTTTCAAAAAAAAAAAAAAAATGCAAGCAGGAGGTTACAGCCCCTCACCTCTGGGCCTACCCAGATGCCAGGTCTCCCCTATTGCTGGTCCATGTGGGGAATGTATACTGACTGCTCAAATGCTAAATGGGCCTGGAGACCTGCAGTCAGTGGCTTTTTGGAGACTTGCAGTGGGGTTTGGCTGGGGGATTTGCTCTGGTAACCAGGACTGAGAGAAGATGGGTATCAACAAGTGTATAACAAGTGGAAACACTTTCAGAGAGAGAGAGAGAGAAAGAGAGAGAGAGAGAGAGAAAGAAAGAGAGAGAGAGAGAGAGAGAGAGAGAGAGAGATGAAATAGCAAAAATGCGACAGTAGAGGAGATGGAGGTAGCAACACAATTCTCCACCACCCCAGGAAATGGATGCAAGTCCCCTCCATGAAGGAAGAAATAGTTTCCAGCCCAGCTTGACCAGTTAAGCGCTTTAAGGGGATCATCCCTGAATCATCAGCTCCATTTTTACAGGACAGGAAACTAATCTGAAGCTCAGAGAGCCCAGTGTGTTCCCAAGGTCATTTAGCTAGGAAGGGGCTGAAGGGGAAACCCAGAGACTGAAAAGGCTGTCTCAAAAGTGGTTGGGGTCTGTCCAGAGGAAGGCTGTGAGCAGGAGAGGCCAGGTCAAGGAGCTGCTTGCCTGTCTAGAAGGCTTCCTGGAAGGGGTGGCATTTTCTTGCTTTTGAAAATGCGTAGAAGCCACATAAAATGGGAAGCACATCTGTCTGACTTCTCATTGCAACTTGGGGTGGTGGAGGCCCAGTGCACCAGACCCTTCCAGAACTTCGTGTTCTGCCAGAGTGACCCATCCCTGAGGCTAAGCCTCCAGCACACTTCTGTGACATCTTTTATTTTAAAGACACAAAAGTCTTTTATTAAGGTGCAACCTGTGGGAAATTTAATCTGATAATATACTACTTACTACATTTAAACAAATATGATCCAAATACAGTAAGACATTCCTTCAACTCCAGACCTTATGTTCTAAGGATAGAAGCCTTTAAAAGAAAACAAAACCACAAACAAAAAAAAAAATATCTTCATGCCACACCTGTAATCCCAACACTCTGGAGGCTGAGGCAGGAGGATCCTCTCGAGTTCAAGACCAGCCTGGGCTACAAAGTGAGTTCAAGGACAGCCTGAACTGCGAAGCAAGACCCTGTCTCAAAAAGACAAAAAAAAAAAAAAAAATTTCTTCATGTGTTACATGAAAATGGGAATAGTGTGTCAATACAGTTAAGATTCCTCTCATGTCCTATACTTTTCTCAACACTTTAGTGTTTTGTCATTTTGTTTGTCATTTTGGCTTTTTGAAATGGGTTCTTGCTGGCCTCAAACTCCGGGCAATCCTTCTGCCTCAAGTGCTGGGATTACAGAAGTACATTCTACCTCACAACTCTGGAAAGTAACTTCAATAGTCATCAATATCTGCCAAATCTACCTATCTATTTATCTATCTTTCTTTCGTTTTTTTCTATTTAGAGGCAGGATCTTTTTATGTCGTTCAGGCTGGTCTCAAACTCGAAGCAAACTTCTTGCCTCAGCCTCCTGAGTGCTGGGATTACAGCCACCAGGCCTGGCCAACCACCACTTTCAGAGTGTTATAATAGTCCATCTTTAAAAAAAAAAAAGCTTTTTTGAGATGAGGTCTTGCTTAGTTGCCCAGGCTGGCCTCAATTTGAAAACCTGTTACAGGCATGCAGCATCACACTCAGCAATAATATTCCTTCTTATAAGTATCAAAACATACTTAACAATGAGTTTTAAATTGCAAAAGAGGATTTATTTTTTGCACCTCTCTATATAGCTTTGTTATACACACAAGTTATACACACTAATGCCAAGATCACTTCTTTTGTAGACGCAAAAACTAAGGCAGGACCAGGGATTTAGCTCAGTATCCTAAGTGCCTGCCTGGTAAATGTGAGGTTTTGGGTTAGATCCCCCAAACCACCGAAACACAAAACAAAAACAAAAAACTAAGGCAGCCCAGAGAAAGCTGCGGGTTGACAGAACCAGGTTCTGGAGCCCCCTAGGCTTCTGAGGATCCGGGCAGGAAAGTCTCAAGACCTGTAAAGTAGGTAGAAGAAATCAGCTTCAGGTTAAACTACAGGAAAACCTACTACCCGACCCGCACTTAGAACCCGTTGCGCTTGCGCAGTGCGAGCGCTCCGCCGAAGAGTCTGGGCGGCGCGCACGCAAGACGCGGGGGCGGGGCTGGGGCGGGGCCTCGAGGCGGGTTTGGAATTTTTGGCGCGAGCCTACTCCGCGCGCGTTCTCGGGCCGTTCCCTCTTTGGAGAGCCTTCAGCCTGAGCGTCCGAAATCGTCGACCGCGGGTCTTGTCCGCCTGACTGCGCCACGGCCTCTTGCCGCCTCCGCCGACCCGAATCTGGCACCTCGCTACTGCGCCCCGCCCAGCCGCCCCAGGTGAGCCCAGCCCCAGCCCCTGAGAGTACGCGGCCCGCAGCCTTTCAGTCCCTTTCCGGGCCTGCCCCGCTCCGTTCCCAGAAGCCCCTTTCGTCAGTGGCCCTTCCACCCTCTGCAACGGCCTCACCTTTCCAGGCCCCACAGAGGCCTTCCCCCACCTCGTGTCCTCTTCCCCAGCCAGCTCTATCCCGACGGCTCCGCCCACCCCCTCGAGCCTCCACCCCCGTGATCGCCCCTGGCGCCGCGCACCTCCCCTCACCCGCGGTCTGGCCCCCTTCCATTTGCAAGCCCCAGTCGCAGCGCTCCTCTCTTTGACTTGCCACGCCCGCCAGGCGGCCAGTGTCCTCTACAGCGCTGTTCCCTGAGACAACCCCTTCTTGGGTAACTGGCCACCTACCTACCCACCCAATTGTTCGCTAGGGTTCCCCCTCGCCACGGAGCGGATTGAGCCACAGCCCTACCAGAGAGGAACTCAGAATCTAGTGGTAGACCGAGGTCAGCAGATGTACCTAGCCCAGTGAGAAGGTGAGGGCCAACGGCCAGTCCTGAGACCCTGGAAACTGCGGGGGTCACCGTGATTCACCCCCAGCCTGGCTTCCCTACCAACCTTTCCCATCCCTAAGGCTGTTTGCCTAAGCCAGTGATGCTAAAATGTAAGTCATTTTGGGAGAGTCTGGAAACTGACTTAACCGGCAGGTGCCTGGTGTGTTGGTTGCACCAAGGCAAGTCCTATAGGCAGCATTTCTAATCAGAACCCTACAAGATGCTGGCACCCTGATTCCTCACTTTGAAAAGCTCTAGGATGTGATTCTCAATAGAGGCAGAGGTGAGGGTGTAGGGTGAACTTTGCAGCCTTGCAGCCAAGCCAGGAGAGTCTTCTCCTCACCACTTACTCGGTTAACGTCAGACTGCTTTTCAGGTGATTAGTCCTGCACAATCAGCACCCTCTACTAAGTATGTTGCTGATACATTGTGGCTTGCTCTCAAAATTGACTTTCTTTCTTTTGCTTTCTTGTTTTTGTTTCAGTTACATTATAGCAACGTAACCGCCCTCTCTGCCCAATATACAGTCAGTGGCATCTTGGGTCCACTGTACTTTGGATGTTCTTTCAGTTACCAGCCAAAGTATTGTGTGTAATAGTTAGCATTTGTGTCAGACCCCAAGCTAATACTTCGATGAGGTCAATTCAGTGTGACAGATCCACAAACCCTTGGAGTTAGAAACATTTTGGAATTCAAAATATCTCAGATTTAGAAAACTAATATGGTGCATATTGCATATATGTAATATGACTGATAGCCCTGAGATGTCATTCCAAGATCAAACATTAATATTCCTGCCAAGAAATAAACTCTTTTACTAAGAGAGAAAAATAGGTCAAGGCAGGGCTGTCTTTGACAGCCTGTCACTAAATTAGTTTTGCATGTACAAACTTAGCGTCATTGGTTAAAAAGACTGTCCTCATCAAATCGTTTGGTGTTCTTGTTGAAAACCAGTTGATGGTAAATGATTGGGTTTACTAATTAATCATTTATTTAGGATGGTGCTGAGGATTGAGCCCAAGACTTTTGCGTTGAACTACATTCACAACCCTTTTACTTTTTTTGTTTTGAGACAGGTCTCAATATGTAGTCTAGGCTGGGCTTGAATTTACTAGGTAGCAGCACTGGAATTATAGGTGTGTACCACCATTCCCAGCACAGTTTTTATTTTTTGAGACACAGTCTTGCTAAATCACTTAAGTTGCCCAGCCCTGGCCTCAAACTTGAGATTTTCCTCCTCAGCCTTCTAGAGATTTGGAATTACAGACATGTGCCACGATGGTCAGCAAGTGTTTTTTTAACCCTCAATTCTATTCCTTTGGCTTGTATATCTATCTTTTTCTTGATTTATTTTTTGTCTCTCTGAGACGAGGTTTCACTATGCAGTTTCATGGTGGCCTTGAACTCACTTTGTAGCCTGTCCTGACCTCAAACTCCTAGTGATCCTCCTACCTCAGCCTCCTGAATGCTAGGATTATAGGCATGTACCACCACACCTGCCTGGCCTGTATTTATTTATTATTTTTGAGACAGAGTCTCACTATGTAATTCAGCTTGGCCTTGAATTCACTAGATAGCCTAGGCTGGCCTTGAACTCCAGGCAATTTCCTGCCTCAGTCTTCTGAGTGCTGGTATTACAAGCCTGTGGCACCATGCCCAGTTGACCTATATATCTTTATGTGAATGCCACACTGTTTTGATTACTGTGACTTTGTAGTAAGTTCTGAAATCTGACTAGGCTTGGTGGCATGCTTAGGAGGCTGAGGATCCCTATGAATTCAAGGCCAGCCTCGAATATATAGTGAGACCCTTATATCAAAAACCAACCCAAACCAAACTCAGACAAAACAAAATAAAACAAAAAAAGACTAGAGATGTGAGTTCATTAACTTTATTTTTTTCTGAGGTTTTTTTTGTTTGTTTGTTTTTACTTTTTTTTTTTTTTTTTTAACTTTTTATCGGTACCGGGGATTGAACTCACGACCGCCTACTTGCAAGGCAGGTGCTTAATGCCACTGAGCTAAATCCCCAGCCCCTTGTTTTTACTTTTCTGGGTCACTAGAATTTCCATATGAATTTTAGGGTCAGCTTGTCAGTTTTTGTGATGAAACCAGTGGAGTTGCTGTTAGAATGGGGTGGATCTGTAGATTAATTTGGAGTAGTTTTATTTTTGTTTTGTGGTACTGAGAATCATCCTCAGGACAGTGCACATGCTAAACAAGCACTCTACCTCTGAGCTGTACTCACAGACCACAGTTTGGAGAGCATTGCCATTTTATCTATATTGTTTTTGGATCTATGAACATGTAACATCTTTAGTGTGTTTCCATTTATTTAGACCTTCAGGTTTTGGAGCTTTTCTTATTTTTGTTTTTTGGGGTTTTTTTTTGCCTGAGGATTGGACCCAGGACCTTGCATACGCCAAACCCTCTTTCCTACACTTTTTCATTTAGGGGAGGGGGTAGCTTCCATGAGCAAAACCCCTGAGCCATGCTCGGGACCGGGATAGTAGTATATTTCCCTCTGAGTGAGAAGCAGGAATGGCTAGGGCATGGAGCAGTGTGGAGCTTCCTTCCTGTGCTGAACAGAGGCTGGCCCTTCCGGCTCCGCCCAACCTGTGAGTAGGGGCTGGCAGGTAGAGGAAGGAAGTCTCTGGCCTGCCTACTACACTCCATGGAAAGTTGGGACACTGAGAAGTGCTGAGAGCCTGCCCCTCCTGAGTTGGTAACTTAACTTTTTTTTTTTTTGTCTTTTTCCTTTTTATTGGTACCAGGGATCGAACTCACGACTGCCTGCTTGCAAGGCAGGTGCTTACGCCACTGAGCTAAACCCCCAGCCCCTGGTAACTTAACTTTAATGGGGAACAGGGACCTAGTCTTGGTTGCATCTGCCCATAGTGCTATGATTCCAGGTACCACACATTCTTGATTTTCTTACTAAGATTTGGTAGATTTTCTTCTTATACATTTGATACAAACATTTCTTCATTTGCTCTCTTCCTGTTACTATACCCAGAGACTCAAATTTTTGCTATGAATAATTTTCACCTGTTTGCCTGTGTCACCAGGGATAGGCCTATGGGGCTCCTATAGGGCTCTGGAAGCAGACCTGCACTCACACTTCTGGCACCATAGCTACAAAAATAAAAGAAAGGAAGAAAGAAACTTTAGGTTCTCCAGGTTTTTTTTACTTTGGAATTGGATATAAAGGATGGTGCTGATATATCCATCTCAGGGTCTTGGAAAAGTCACAGAGAGGAAGACTAGAAGTATAGGTGTCAACTCCAGAACATCTCTCGCTTTCTCTCTCTCCCTTTTTTTTTTTTTTTTTTTTTTTTTTTGTCTTTTTGAGCAGGGTCTTGCTGTATAGTTCAGGCTGACCTTGAGCTCACTTTGTAGCCCAGGCTGGTCTTGAACATGAACTCACAAGGATCCTCCTAGCTCACCCTTCCAAGTGCTGGGATTACAGGCATGCACCACCATGCCCAGCTGTCTCTTTTTCAGACAAGTTTTCATTGTGTATTCCAGGCTGACCTTAAACTCACTAGCTCAGGCTGGCCTTGGACTTGTGTGATCTTCCTGCCACAGCCTTCCTAGTGCTAGAATAATGGGGGTATGCCACCATGGTCTTTTCTGCTGGGCTGTGAGACCCTCAGGGATGTGGGCTTATGGTCTCCCTGCCATATTTTTATCATCTCCAAGATGCAGCACACACTGTACAGGTGTGTAACTGCCTGTCCTCTGCCTTCTTCTGCAGGTGTGTGTGACCCCCCCCACAGCCTTCATGTATGTAAGGCAGCACATGTGTGAGATGTAGACATGGCTTTTTTAGGGGCCACAAGTTTGGGCATTTGGGTGGACGCACTGCTCTGTAATTGGCCTCCATCTCTGCCTCCAGGGCTTCCTGCATTGACCATGCCTGTGCCCGCTGAGGGCACCCCACCAACCCTGAATGGCACCCCTGTCCCAGTCCCAGCTTACTTCCGCCATGCAGAGCCTGGCTTCTCTCTCAAGAGGCCCAGGGGGCTTAGCCGGAGCCTCCCTCCACGGCCCCCTGCCAAGGGCAGCATCCCTGTCAGCCGTCTCTTCCCTCCTCGGACCTTGGGCTGGCACCAGCCCCAGCCTCGGAGAGTGTCATTCCGGGATGAGGCCTCAGAGCTCCTGCAAAGCCCTGGGTATGACCCACACAGGCCAGAGTCCTTCTTCCAGCAGAGCTTCCAGAGGCTCAGCCGCCTGGGCCACGGCTCGTTTGGAGAGGTCTTCAAGGTGGGTGAGAGAATGGCTTCCCAGGCCTGCCTATGAACCCCTTGGCTTCCCTCCCCTGGGTGGGACAGTGTCCTGGGCAACCTGCCCTTTTCTGACAGCCAGCCTCTCCACTGTGCATGATTGGCTGCTCTCCCATGCCAGCTCTCCCCAGGCTGTTCTATGTACACTGGTGCCTTGTCTCAAGCCTGGCATGCCCTTCAGTGCTCCCAGCTGCCATCTCTCTGCCTGGAGCCAGCTGTGCTGGGGTCCTTGGCGAGCTTTGCCTGGCTCTGGGAGCAGGCCCAAGTGCAGTGTCCAACCTGCCCCCCAACACTGGCAGGCCTGCCACCCTGTCTGCCGTGTTTTTTTCTTAAAATACATTTTGTTATTAATTATATTTTCTTTGAAATGATAGCTTTCCCTTGGACTATTGAAGGCAATATTGTTAAAAATGCAAGGAGCATAGACCTTTGGATCAGCTATCTTTTTAGAAAACAGCTTGTATACAACGAGCATACTGCTTCTGAGGTTCTGGAGCCCTGGAGTCTCTCCAGTCAGAATAGAGGCTGTCTCAGTGTACCACATTGCTGATGGGGTTTTTTAATTAACAAAAAAATTTTTTTACAGTGGAGATTAATCCTGGGGCCTTTGCACTGAACTGTATCCCCAGCCTTTTTTAAATTGTATTTTTTATTTTAAGACAGAGTGTAAGTTGCTAAGTGGTCTAGTTTTGAACTTGTGACCCTCCTGTCTCAGCTTCCAAGAGTGCTGGGATTATAAGCATGTGCTACCATAACTCATGTATATGAACTATGGTTTTGTCCCTTGTGGCCCACCTCCCCATTCCATCACCTCTCTTCCAGGTACGCTCCAAGGAAGATGGCCAGCTCTATGCAGTCAAGCGCTCCATGTCGCCATTTCGGGGCCCCAAGGATCGGGCCCGAAAACTGGCTGAGGTATGCGGCCATGAGAAGGTGGGGCAGCACCCACACTGTGTGCGACTGGAGCAGGCCTGGGAGGAGGGCGGTATCCTGTACTTGCAGACAGAGCTGTGCGGACCTAGCCTCCAGCAACACTCTGAGGCTTGGGGTACCAGCCTGCCAGAGACTCAAGTCTGGGGCTACCTTCGGGACACACTGCTGGCTCTGGCCCACCTGCATGGGCAAGGCCTGGTCCACCTTGATGTCAAGCCAGCCAACATCTTCTTGGGGCCCCGTGGCCGCTGCAAGCTGGGTGACTTTGGGCTGCTGGTGGAGCTGGGTACAGCCGGAGCCGGTGAGGCTCAGGAAGGAGATCCCCGCTACATGGCTCCTGAGTTGCTGCAGGGCTCCTATGGGACAGCAGCAGACATATTCAGGTAAGGCTTGGGACATGAAAGGGTCATGTTGGGCTGTAGGCAGTGCTTCCTGTGGGGGGTCTGCAGAGAGAATGACTCCCTGACCCCTGTCAAGTCTGACAAATACTTGGCCTCAGGCCTGGGGGATATGCCCCTGCCCTTGGGAGGAGTCTGTGGAGCTGGCTGCCCATAAACAGCAAGTCCCCCGGAGATCCTTTGTGTAGACTCACCATCTCCTCATAGCTCTGCAGGATGATCAACCATTACTCCACTGCAAAAGGGACTTGCCCCAAAGTCCTCAGTTAGTAGCTGATCCTGGGTCTGGGCACTAGTTCCAAGTCCACACTGGCAAGCACTGCCCTTCCTACAACAGTTGTATCTGATGATCTTAGCAGAAAGATGGTAATACCAGTAACCATGGAAATCTTGGAGCCTGTAACTGAGGTGCTATAGGACCCATCATGGCAGTGGCAATGTGTAGGCTACACTAGAATACAAGATCACACTTCATGACAAAGTCTCCATTCTGCCTGTGACTTATTGGCCCTTCCTTAGAGGTTCTCACTTTTTTTTTCCTCACTTCTGTGGCTTATGGTAGATGAGAGCTATCTTTCACTACCCTCTAAGAGGCCATCTGGGACTGGGGTCAGTGTCCCAGGGCCTACTCTGCTCATTTTTGTCCCCGCCCCTTGTCTTTCCCAGCCTGGGTCTCACTATCCTTGAAGTAGCCTGCAACATGGAGCTACCTCATGGTGGGGAGGGCTGGCAGCAGCTGCGCCAGGGATACCTGCCCCCTGAGTTCACTGCTGGTGAGTGGGGATCCAGGGATGATGATCTCTACCTATGGCAGGGAGTGGCTCCCCACAGGGCTACTATTAAGCTGTGGGTTTGGTCTGGTTTGTGCCCTCGGGTCCTTGATATGACCCTGCCTCATGAGCAGGTCTTTCTGCTGAGCTGCGTTCTGTCCTTGTCATGATGCTGGAGCCTGACCCCCAGCTGCGGGCCACAGCTGAGGCCCTGCTGGCCCTGCCCATGCTGAGGCAGCCACGGCCTTGGAGTGTCCTGTGGTACATGGCTGCCGAGGCCCTGAGTCGAGGCTGGGCCCTGTGGCAGGTAAGCACCCACGTGCCAGGATGCCATCTACACCCTGAGTCAGGACCACCTGTGCCCAGGATCAAGACCTACCTGGCCTCCTAAGGCTCAGTCTCCCTGCAGGCCCTGCTCACTTTACTGTGCTGGCTCTGGCATGGCCTAGCTCACCCTGCCAGCTGGCTGCAGCCCCCAGGCCCACCAGCTACCCCACCTGGCTCACCACCCTGCAGCCCACTTCTGGACAGCAGCCATTCTAGCAGCTGGGAGGATGACAGCATAGGGTAGGTGAATGCTCAGGATGCTTTGGGGTGAGGGTAGACATCACTGTAACCAAATGCTACATAGGAAGAGGTCCAGGCCCCATGGAGAGAGCTGTTGGATTGAAGCCTACCACAGACCTGGTCCCATCATACCTCAGGGTGCAGTCTGGCCTGTGTGAATGCAGCTCAGCCTTGGGATGACAGCTGCATACAGCCAGCTGTCAACCAGCTGCAGCAGTCAGGCCAGTGCCCTTGTCAGGATAGGCAAGGGGAAGCCCCCACCTCAGTAGAGCCTACTAGTGCTCATTGCCCTTTCCTAAGTGAAAAAAGTCTCCCAGACCTTGGCATCCCCTACCACCTCACCTTAGTCCCAAGTAAGAGGGTGTAATTAAGAAATTACTACAAAGGAAAGCTGCATGCTCTAGACACATAGCTTTCAGGAAGAATCCTTTCTTTATACTAACACCATCCTTGATCTGGAGGCCACTTTAGAGCACAGAAGTGGTGCTAGGAAAACTTCATTTATCAGAAGTTCACTTAAAATCCTGCTTGAAGTTGTGTGTGCTTTGAAAGGGGCACAGGTGACCTTTGGGGTATGGTCAGGTAGGCTTGGAGGTAGTCAAAGCACACTGTGTTTCACTGCCCCATGTTGGATCAGAGCTGGATTTGTCCTGTGCCCCCAAACCCCAACACCATTCTTGCCTTGCCCACCCTCTTGCAGGCCCTCACTTTCCCCAGAGGCCGTCCTGGGCCCAGCCATCAGGAGCACATCCACACCCCAGGGCAGGCACACACTGAGGTGAGCAGGCTCAAGGGCTGGGGCTGGCTGGGATTGGCTTTGGGATCATGAATGTCATTCTTTTTTGTTCCTTCCCCCAAGAAATGCCCTAGACCTGAGTGACATGGACTCAGAGCATCCTAGAGGTTCCTGTCCCTCTTTTGAGCCTCGGAACCTCCTCAGCCTGTTTGAGGACTCACTAGACCCAGTCTGAACCACAGGCCCAACGTTGGCGCTTTTAACCTTGGAACCCCTTTCCTGTTCCTCCCTTAGGAAGGTGGGATCCCTTGGGGAATTCCTGTATCTAATAAAAAGTATTTGAATCTTGGGAGTCTCCAAGCTTGCTTGAGTAGGAACACAATGCTTCTTGTCCCTTTATTAATGTTGCCCATGGTCTTAGGCCTCTGGGAGGATCCAGCTGAGGTTGACCCCTGCTGCAGAGTGTAGTTACCCTGTCCTCAGGTCAGAGGACCAGAGCAACACACTGTGGAGCAGAGATTTCCTGAGTGTATAAATCCCCAGTGGGCAGGTTGGGCATTAGCCCATGGTCCTTAAATGGGGTCTGGGTCTAGGGTCACTCCACGTCTGTGCCTATTGCCTGGGAAAAGCAGCCACTGTCCTGCTGCTTGTTGGACACTTGGTTGAAGAAAGTCTAGTACCTACTTGGTCTTAAGAAAAGGAGGTGGTCCTGCTGCCTTGAACGCTTACTCCAATCTCTTGGACAGGAGGAGCTTCTGGCTGCTGGGGAAGCATGCAAGGGGACAGACAGGTCAGGAAGCAGGAACAGAGGGGCTGCCCTCTACAAAAGGGGAAGGGTGGGATGATGGCTCTACACTGGAGTTCTGTCTGAGATATGACCCCAGAGCCCCTCTGCCCAACCCTTATAGGTCGCAGAGATAAAGAGGTATGTGTGTGAAATGTCCTCCAGCTGATACAGTAAAGGAGCAAGGGAAGCGAAGTTGGAATTTCACGCCTGGGTAGAAGGAGAGGTTAGTCCATAGGGAAGAATGAAGAGATGAGCAATCTCAGCTGGGAAGTTCTGTGCACTGGTAGCGTCCAGGGAGCCTGCCCCTTGCAGACCAGCAGGTGGTGGGAAAGTGCCTTTATTGGTCCCAAGAGGCCACAGGTAGGCAGGAAGCAGTTCAGTCTGGGGAACAGGCATGGCGAGCCGTCCAGAGCAGGTCAGGCACAACACCGGCGTGCAGCTGGAGGATGGAGCCCACGCTGAGCAGGTGCATGATCTGGTGGGAATTGCCCCAGTAGTCGAAGCGGCCGGGCCCCCAGCGCTCTGGCAGACGGGCCACATTCACCAGCCCTCCAAGCAGTGCCAGTGCATCCATGCGGAGGTAGCAGGGCAGGGAGCCTGGGGCCCCTGACCCTAGACCTACTCCACGGGCCCCAAATACCAGCAGGCGAGCCCCAGCTTGCCAACCAAAAGCTCGGAGCCGAGCACTGGTAGAAGGGGCTGTGAGGGCACGCCAGCCAGCCACGGCTGACAGCATAGTATAGCCCACTAAGGCAGCCGGGCGCAGCCAGGGCCTGCAGGCCAGGGTACAGTGTATGATGGGCAGAGCCCCTGCAGAGAGAAAGAGAGGGCAATCAGGCTGAGGCTGCTCAGGGATCATGCCAGAAACCCTTGCCTCCCCCTCCCTGGAACCCTGGCTCACCAAGAGTGTTGACGAGGCAGACCCCACACATATCCAGGGCGAGAAGCCGGGCGTACACTGGACTGCCCCCTTGGTGGCACATGAAGAGGTGATATAACACTGAGGCTGCAGGGGGGGCCACGCAAGCCACACAGTGTGTGCCCCCCAGCCAGCCATCCTTGCCCAGCTGACTCCAGGGCATGGTCATCGGCACCAGCACCAGGAAACCCAGCAAGGCCACCCCTGGGGGAAGCAGACAGTAAACAGGTAGTTTCAGCTTAGGTCACTTCCAAAACAGGACCAGTCTAGAGTTGATGCAAGAGGGATGAGACAGATCTGAAGTTGACCAGCAATGCAGCATAGAGGCAGCTCAGGGCTACAGCCTTTCAGAAACTGTCATGGCTCACTGAAGTTCTGGGAAGTAAAGATGATGAGACTCACTTTGCAGGTGAGGAAACAGACACAGAAGCCAAGTAACCTGCCTCAGGCAAACTAAGCAGTAAGCGAAGGACTGTGAAGAAGCCCAAGATACCTACTTCCCAAGCTGCCCTCACCCCTCAAACAGCAGGCCCCACCAGGCCTGCCTGTCCTGAGTGTCCACCCTGGGAGGCAGGACCTCAGGCTGCATTCTCAGTAGAATATGTGGGTAACATACTAGCCCCAGGGCTGGTCCCCATACAAATGGAGGGTTGAGCCATTTTTGTCTTCCAGAAAGGGCCTAGGCCAGATATGTCCAGAGGGAGAGCAAGGGGCTAAAAGAACTTGTTTTGTTTCCTCTCCCGGGGCTCCACTCCTCCGAACTCAAAAGCCCTTCTAGGAGATGCCCAGCCCTCCCTACTGGCAATGGTAGTGGCCTAACTGTGGACAGACCAGGACATTAGCTGCCAACATATTTTTGGAGGGGGACTGGCCTATCCATAGTTTGTCACCAGGGAAAGGCCCCCAGGCTAAACCCAGAGGGCTCTGGGCCCCTCTCCTGGCTGGGCCGGCTCAAGGACGGGCAAGTCTGTGTCAGCAGAGCGCTGTGGGTGGTGGAGGAGGGGCGGAGCGCACGGAGGTGGAGGCCGGGGACACACTATCAGGCAGAGCCAAGACAAGGCTGCTGGAGCGGGGGTGGCATTGGGGCCTGGCTGTGGTGCACTTCTTGTCCCAGGCCATTGTCCACACAGTTAACACCCATCTCCAGGATGGGTGCCGGCTGGGAAGGGTGCCCAGGGCACTGGGATTACGAAAAAGTCGGACACCAGGCTCCTTACCCCCAAGGCTCAGCGGGATTAACCGCATCTGCCCCTCACTCTGCCCCCCTCTCTGGTCCTGGGCCCCCCTGCTGAGAAAAGCGGAAGCTGGCAAGCGCGGCTTGGACAATGGCAGCTTTGTCACTGTAGCTCCTAGCCGAGTCAGGGCCGGGACTAGCCTGGGCCAGGGCGCGGAGGTTTTCCCTGGTTTGGAGCCCGGGCACACACGCAGGGTGGGGAGCAGGATGCCCGGAGCGGGGTGCGGCTCACCATGTGTGTAGATGTTGCCCAGCTCGTTGTGCAGGTAGAAGAGGCTGCGCAGGCAGCCCGAGCCGCTGCTGGCCGGCCGGTAGCCGGTCAGCACGAACTTATTGAACTGGAGGTGCGGCGGCGAGCTGGCCCAGTCCAGTAGTCGCGGCCCAGCCAGAAACGCCATGGCCCCGAGCAGCGCTTCTCCTGCAGCTGGGCCTCCTCTTCAGCAGGGCTGCAGTGCCGAGAAGCTCATGCTTGCTGCCTCACGCAGCGACGCCTCACACACCAGACTGTGGACCCAGCCCACTCCGCTCTCGCGCTGCGCGAACCCGCTGCCACCGCGCGTGGGCACAGGTTGGAGATGCTGGCGCCCGCGCAAAGCGACCGGCTGCGCTCCGGGAAGGCGTGCCGTAGGAGTAGCTCTCCTAGAGGAAACGGCCACAGCGAGTCTTCAGGTCTTCTCAAGGAAGCACGGAGGACAGGCACGGCAGGACAAGGGAGGGGACGCCAAGCTCCGCCCCGGGCTCCTCGCCCCCGTCACCCTGGTGGTGTTTCGCGCGCTGGATTCCTGACGTCTACGCTGCCCGGCCCAATGGGCAGGGCTGGCGGGGGAGCTCCTCCCCGAGCTGCCTAGGCCTCCTCCTTCTGTTAGCATAATATATATACAGTTTCAGCTTTATTTGCATGGGGCAGTTGTTGATTTGGGACCTGAGGTCCTGGCTCCACATGTTCTGCTGAAGTGACCTGGCATTTGGTGTCCCCCACGTTCGCACCTGATCTTTCTTGTGATCCCCAGGTTGTCACATTTTTTGGGCACACATCCTCAAGGGCAAAGCCCCTTACATCCAGCCCTACCTTGCTGTTGGGGCTCTGTCCAAGGTGCTACTGGCGCAGACCACTTTGGGAGGGTCTAGGCAAGCTCCTGGGCGCCCCCACTATGACTTGAGGGGGTGTATGAGGAAGAGTCTAGTCTGGGCCTGGACCAGCTCAGTCTTTATCGTGCCCACAAGGTGAACCTTTTGCCCCCAGGTAGAAGGTACGAGGAGAGGGGTGGTTCCATCCTGTCCACCCTGGATGAGTCAGCACATCTCACTGACCTTGTCCTTCCTTGTCCTACAAGACCTCTCAGCCTTCCTTGTCCTACAAGACACACTCATCCATTTGGTCCCTTTATCCTCTGCATTCCAGAAGGCTCCACCAAATTAATTGTGTAAAACACCTTTCATTTCATGAATACAGGGAATTCTCCACTGCTGTACCTCACTAACATAGCTGCTCCCTCCATGTAAGAACTTTGGAGGCCTAATCAAAATAGACTCTCTATTTAAGGTGTAGGGTGGAACTTTTGTTGACTGCTGACCTCTTATTGAGGACAGCAGTCCAGGACCACCACACGAGGAGCTCAAAGACCACTGAAACCACAGACCACCCCCATATCAAGGTTCATGGGTTGGAAAGCTAGATTTTTCTTGTCCTTTGGCCTAGAACACCTGGACCCCAAAGGTCAGGCCAAGTCCACACCATAGCATTAGATGTTTCTTGTCCAATTTCTGGTGTCCCCAAGATGGTCAGAGGCTGATCTTCCTTTGAAGGGGTAGAAGACCGAGGTAGGGTGCAGTGTAATGTCTCAAGTGTCCATCTCGATAGCACAAGGTCCCATGTCCTACAGACCCTCTGGGACAAAGTCTGGGAGCAGTCAGAGAGCAGAGATGAGTGAGCGCAAGGAACTCTGGCTGGAAGCACTCAGGGGCCGGTAGCCTGCAGCAGGACTTTCAGCCTGGGGGTCTCCGGTAGGACAAGGCAGGGCCATCCTTCTGGGCCTTCGGTACCACACAGTCCAGCTTCTCCCAGTGTCCCTGGAAGGTCCCAACGTTGGTGGCCCTTTTCCTGGAGCCAGCAAGCAGTTCCTAGGAAAGGAGCAGATATCAGCAGGACCCCTACTCAGTCCCACCTCCAGCATCCTATTCTGTCTGGGATCCATGTAGCTCTGTGTGTGCATCCAAAGCCTCACCCCCTCAAGAGCACAGGAGTCCTTTTCTAGCTTCACCCCCACCTGGGCGCCCAAGTCCCCACCAGGATCCCAAGTTCCCACCAGGGCCTCATTTCCTTGGATTCTAAGGTGTCAGACTCCTGGTGCTTGGTCCACCCTCAAGCCCTGCCCCAGTGCCCACACCGTCGGCGCAGGAGATGCAGCAGCAGCGACAGGAGCAGGAAGAGCAGCACGGAGACAACTGTCGCCAATGAGAAGACCCGGGCTGTGGATACAGTTGTGGTTAGGGCAGGTTCCTCCTCCCTTCCAGGGCCTGCTCCCTGGCTCACCCCCACCATCCACTTTTCTTGTGCCTCACCCCCCATTGCAGCCTGCAGAGTCACAGGCCTGGGGCTGCAGCTCGCATTGGCCCTGCCAGGAGTCTCCTCGGGGGTCTGGGCAGATCCCTTTGGCTGTGCACGGTCCTCGACTATGTTCTGCAGCCCTGCGGAGCCCAGAGTGAGGCGGGGTGGTGGGGGTGGGCAGCGGGGCGGGGCCGGGGCGGGGCTCACCACGGTAGGTGAGTGCGAAGCCCTGCGCGTGGCCACGAGCATCGCTGTGGAAGGTGAGCAGGACTGCAGCGACCCTCAGGCGCAGAGGCCCGGCTGGCGGCGGGCGGGTCCCGTCGAAGGCCCGCAGCAGGCTTCCCGAGGGGACTTCGCGAAGCTCCAATCTGTCGCGCGGGTCTGCCAGCTCGAAAAGGCGGAAGGTGAGCTCCAGCGCTGCGCCTGACGACGGGCCTACCACCCAGCTGCAGTTCCTGTCTGGTCCATACTCGTCAGGAAAGTCCGGAGAGTAAATGACACCCTGAGGCGCTGTCCAGTTTCCCTGACAGGAGCCCACAGACACTGCGTGCGGGGCCAGTGGTCAGAACCCAGAGGTCAGCGGCACTGTCCCTTAATGGCTGCAGCTTCCACTCTAGCTAGGCCTCAGCCCAGGTCAGCCCAGTCCAAACCCAGACAGCCCAGTCTCCACCCCAAATCTAGGTCCTGCCTAACTTCCATAGGCTCTGCCTTTAGAATAATCCTTGCTTAGGTCCTGGTCTCTAGATCCCTCTTTAGACCCGATGTCAATTCCAGTTCTCTTCCAGGCAGGAACCCCAGCCACCCATTCTACTTTCCTGATTCTGCCCATATCAGGGTACAGCACACCTAGGGTTCTGCCCCGCCTAGACTTGTCTCCTCATCAGAAGGCCCCTCCAGCCTACCACTCACCTTCATAGATGCCTAGTCGCCCGTCGCCACCACACAGCTGGCCGGGATGGCCGAAACAGATCTGGTCACAGTCAGTGGCAGGTGCTCCACGTCCCCGTGCCAAGTCGCTTTCAGAGCCACAGAAGCAGGCATAACCAGCCTCCACACCAGCCAGCTGGGAGCACAGACTGGGTGACCCCAAAGGCAGAGACCCAGGTAGGGGTGAAGTGGTGGGGTCAGAAGTGGGAATCAGACTAAAGGTTCAGAAACCAGTGCCAAGGTCTGGCGTCAGAGTGTTGGGAGTTGACTGGTGTCCTGAGATTAAGGTCAATCAAGGATCACTGTGCAGCGGCCATGGGCAGTACTGTACCTGATAGCCCTTCATGCGGCAGAAACGAAGGCACACCTGGACTGTGAGTTTCGTGGAGGTGCCACTGGGGCCACTGAGAGCCGGGGGTGTACCAGAGTCAACAAAGCACCCTAGGTAGCCAGGCACTGAAGAGACAGTGGGGTCAGATTCTCACCTCTGAAAACAACTCTCCTATTATACTTCCCCCTCTCTCCAGCCAGGCCGACTTACTGTGACATGTGGGGATGTCACAATAACGCCAGTAGATGCCCTCTTCCGTCTCAGCCACATAGCACCATGGTTGCACATCACCATCTGGGTTCCTGGGTAGGGGGAACGGGTGGAAGGCTCAGGATCCCTTTTCCCTTATGTGCAATGTGACCACCAAGATTCCACTCTGTTAGAGGCCATGCACACATGTTCTAGTTTTTGCCATGTGTTTCTGAATATCAATGCATGTAGCTAAGTCATTAAAGGAAACTTGAGGGACTTGATCTCATATTTTAGGACTTTACCCTCACTTGCCATTTCCCTTGCCTTGGAAATATATATATATATATATATATATATATATATATATATATATTTCCCCTCCCCCCTTTGGTTATTTGAGACAAGGTCTCACTATGCTGTTTAGGCTGGCCTTGAGCACACTTTGTAGGCCAGACTGGTCTTACATTTGCAGCAATCTTTCTGCCTCAGCCTCCCGAGTGCTGAAATTACAGGTGTGCACCACCATACAGCCCAGCTGTTTTATTTTATATTTGTTTTTTTGAGATAAGATCTCATTGTATAGTTCAGGCCAGCTTTTAACTCATTATGGAGCCCCAGCTGGCTTCAAACTCACAGCCATCCTCCTGCCTCAGCCTCCCAGTGCTGGGATTCCAGGCATGCACAACAATGCCCTACTTAGATCTCAGTCCTTTCCCAAAAAACAACAACAACAAAAAAAACCGGTCTGTGCATCCCACCCTGCGCCTCCCCCAGCGCAAGATAGGCCTTGCCCCGGCTTTGACTCCACCCCTAGATCCTCCAGCTGGGCTAAAGTGCAGAAGTTTTTGAGGTTCACAAGTAGCCCCCTCAGATCACTGCCCAGAGCTCGGGGTCCAGCCTTGCCCTCACCGGCAGAAGTTGTGCGCGCCCAGCCCCCAGCGGCCCTGCGGGTCACTGGCGCTACTGTAGCTGTGCTGCTGTGTCTGGTCCCAGAAGAGACACGGGCGTCCTGTCCCGCGTGGGCCTGTGTGGTTCTGGTGGCCACGATAGTCGGCCCCATTCACCTGGAAGCACTCGGACAGACCTGCTGGGCAATCACGGGACCTGGGGAGACTGGACCCTTCTAGGGCAGAACCCCCACTCCCGCCTGGATCACCGTCAACACACCCCAGTGTCCGCCCCCCGCGGGGCCCTTGAGCTGCTCAGCTGTTCCTGCCACCTTCTCTGCCGCCTATCCGGCCTCAGCCTCGAGGCCCCAACCAGCCCTGGTGGAGAGGCCGAGGATGGAGCGGTGACCAAGACTTGGCCCTCTACCTGACTCACCTGGACTCTTCAGGCTTCCTGCCCAGGCCCTGCGCGGCTGCAGCAGCGGGATAAAGAGGAGGAGGCCCAGCAGGGCCCGTGTCCCCATCGTCCCCAACCTGGGAAAGTTGTCTTGGCCCGGAGACGACCCGACCACCCCTTGGGCCGTTCTGGGGTCTCCTAAGCGACCTTCGGGGTGTTGTCCTTTGCTGTCCTCCTCTCACTCTCTGGACGGCGCTGTCTGCCTGGGGGAAGATATCTCCCGGGGATCTTTGCCTCCCAGGGTCTGTGCCTCTTGGAGGTGTCTCTCTGCCCTTGTCCTTGACCGGGGGTCTCTCGGGAGGATCCAGCCGGGGCTTTCTCAGTCTGTGCGTCCCTGCTCTGGGTAGTGCCTCGGCGTCCGCACCCTCCCCCTTCCGCTGCGCCTGGCTGTCTGCCTCTTCCTCGCCTGGGTCTCTAAGGCGCTAGCTCTTACCCCCCTTACCCCCCACCCCGCGGGTCCACCCCCACCCCAGAGCGGGAAGCCCCGCCCGGGACAGGAGCGCAGGCAGCAGGTCCAGACGCCTCCCACTCCCGCCCGCCCCCCCCCCAGGACCCCCAACATCCCGGCAAACCACTCCCCGCCCCTTCCCTCCCTTCCAAGGGTCAATGCGAGTTCTAGTGGAAGGGTGTGGAGGGGGACAGGCCGATCTAGCAGACAAGGGATCCTAAAATGGGACATGCAAGATCCCTCCCGCTGCAGCAGGGAGTCTCCAGGTCACACGCACCCTGGTTCAAGTGCCTGCATTCTCCCCCTCGTTCACCCATTCATCGTCAGCAGCTCGCACGCGCGCTCACTCCTCCTTCCCCAAGCTCCGATGCCGCTGGCTTCAAGGAGGAAGCGCCACTCCCTGCCCCCGCACCCGCGAGACAGGCGAACCTCGATGGGCGGCGGGCGCTCGGTTCAGGACAGGCAGGGGCAGCTGGCGTCTGGGGAGGAAGGCAGCTGCGCCCCCGGCCCCAGCCTCCCCCCACCCCCACCCCGCTCCTTCCCCGGACCCCGGCCCGGCGCTCAGAGCCATGGCAGTGCTGTGGAATTCCCCCAGCGGTGCCCCCCACCTGGCGGGGGAGGGGGAGGGGAGCAGGCCCAGGCAGGCGTGGGGGGAAATTCCCCGCCCCCTCCTCCTGGGCCCGACTCCTCAGAATTGTCTGATCTGGCGCTGCCAGCCCGCTGCCCCCAGGGTTTGGGGGGAGGCCAGCGCAGGTGCGTGGGAGGGCGGAGGCCGAGTGAAGTAGGTGGAGGGAGGCAGGGGCCCCAGATCCTTTGCCCATCAGTCCAGCCTGTCACCCTACGTCAAGGCCCCAGAGGCTGTCCACCGGGGGCCCAGCTAGCTCCCTGATCCCAGCCTGATACCCATTCTGGCAGCAAACGAAGAAGCAAGATTTGGGGACAGGATGGCACGGGGAAGACTCTGAGAGACCAAGGTGCCCGTTGGTGATCTGACCCACCGAGATTGCAGTTAATGCCTCAGGAAGTCTCTTGTGTCTCCTGGGGTTGGGGACAGACGTGTGCTGGGAGATAGGGCATTAGAAGGAGGTGGCCCAGAGTCGGGGTGCCTCCTCCCAGGTTGAGTACTGGAGTGGGAGTTTCCTTCCTCTGCTGGCCTTACACTGAAACCCACCAGGCACCCCCTAACCACAGAGGAATCAGGGGCTACTGTCCACACTGGTCTCCCTTGTCCCCCCCACCTGAGAGCCTATGAAGAATGTCAGGGTGCAGACATTGTGGTAAAAAGGGTGAAGTAGAGAACAGGGTCAGTCAGGACATCTGTATTCTTTTTTTTGTACTGGAATTGTACTCAGTATCTTGTGCTTGCCAGGCAGAGGCTTAGGCCACTGAGCTGTATCCCCGGGCCAAGCTGTTCGTGTTCTAAATGAAAATCATGGGAGGCTTGGTGGAGGAATCACACAGATGGGAGTAAGACAAGGATCCACCTCGGGGACTGGCGCCTCCTGCAGAGCGCAGCTGAGGAGATGTAGGCAAGGACCACAAGCTTCTCCTGTCTCAGTTCATTCCTGGAACCTCCCAGAACTAAGAAAGGCCTCAGAGCGTGCGTGCACACCCATACCCACCCAGCATTCAGCACTCGGTGCTCTGCTAGCAGCAGCCTGACTGCTCCTAAGGGCCATGCTGGGTGAGTGAAGTGGCAAGGTTTTCATTTCCCCATTCCCCAGACCCACCAACTGTGTTCAGAGGCCACTGCAAGCTGGTGTGGTGTTGGAGTTGAGACTCAAGCATTCTGCTCTTCATGACCCAAAAGCTAGTTGCAAATGCTGTCCTCATCCTATACTGTTTTTCTGGGGGGTGGGGGATGGGGGAGGTCCCTAACCGCAGGAATTTCTGAGTATAGAGACATTAGTTCTCTCTTGTCTTCTTTTGAGAGTCTCACATCCCTGCAGTGCATTGCACAGATGAGGCTACTGAGGCCAGGGAGGGACAGGGGTCAACCTAGGATCACTGGAGGGGGGTGTCTAACCCTGGTGGTACGCTGGTACTCAAAGCAAGGAATTCACAGGAATAGGCCTGCCACATGGGGGCAGCAAAGAGCTCAGGCTTTGGGCTTGGATGGAGAAGAGTCCTGTGCCAGGAGGGGCCTTGTCCTTTCTCTCCTCCTGCCATGTAATACCAGTTTGCAGGTTCAGGGGGAACATAGTGAAAATGTGGGGGACGCTGAGATGAGGAGTCAGGCCATTTTGTCCCAGTAGACATCCCTGGGAGTAGGTGCAGAGATTGGGGCTCCTGGGCCCAGAACTTTTCTGTGCAGAAAGCCAGTCAGAGAGGGTGGACTTGGTGTGGAGTCAGGTGCTTTGGTCTTGTCTCTTTTGTTTTTTCACTTTTCTGTGGGGATAAATTTTCCTTTGAGGCCTGGCCCTCGTGACAGGGTATATGCAGCCACCAAGGCAAAAGGAGGAAGCAGAATGTTCTGTGTGAAGCAAACTGCCCTGGGGATCCCTGGGCAGGTCCTGGGGAAAATGAACCAGGTAGACCTCATCTCCAAGCCCCTTCTCCACCTGAGACCTGGAAGAGGGGTGCGGGGTGAGGAGCACCTTTCAGCATCTCAGAAGGAAGCTCCCTGCAGGGCGATCCCAGAGTCCCAGTCACACGCTCCCTAGTCACACAGCTGTGGTTCTGCAATCTCTTCTCAGGGGAGAGCCTTGTTCCTCCCACCTGCTCTACCCACCATGTGTTTACTAATGCTGGTTCCGCCAGCTCCTGCGCAAACCACTGCACCCTATTTTCCTGCCTTCCTTTGCATTAGGTGTAGTTATAGGGGCAAGTTCGGTGCACATCCTCCTCACTGCCAGCAGCTTGTTACAAATGCAAGTCTGTCTTACAATCTACCTTTCCCCAAGATCCCTGGGTGCTACAGTGTGGGAAACACTGATGCAGGCCCCTGCTAGTTGCTCTGCAACAGCCTCAGTTTCTCTTTACTTACTGAGTAAAGAGGGGCCCCAAGACACAAGAAGAGGTCACGCTAATTGATGAGGATGCTAATGCTGAGCAGGCAGGGCAAGGTGGCACCACCACACCTAGCATGCCCTGCCTTCTCCAGCTGCCCCCCCCAGTACTAGGGATTTAACCCAGTGCCTTTGCACTGATCTATATTCCCAGTCCTTTTTTGTTGTTGTTGTTCTTTCTTCTTTACTTATTTATGTACTTATTTGAGATAGTAGTTCACACTGGTTTTGAACATACTATGTAGTCTATGCTGGCTTCTAACTCAAGGCTCAGCCTTCCAAGGCCTGGAATCACAGGCTTGTGCCACCATGCCTACCACCTTATTTTTGAGATAGGATCTTGCTAAGTGCCCAACCTGGGCTCGAATTTGGATCTTCCTGTCACAGCGTCTTGCATCACCACACCAGGCTTTCTACACACCTCTCTTCATCCGTGTTTGGTTCATAAGGCTTCTGTAGCAAAGTTCCACAATCTGGGTGGCTCAAATAACAGAAAATCATTGTCTCACATTTTGGGGACCATATGTTGGAGATGGAGGTATTGGCTGGGCTGATTCCTGAGGGGCTTATGTTTCAGGCGGTTTGTGTCAGTCTCTGGCATTCTTTGGGATATAGGAGCATCACTCCAAGGTGCCTTTACCAGTCACATTATGTGCAGGCCTGTGTCCAAATGATCTTTTCCCACCCTGCCCCTACCCCCACTTCGCCCCACCATTGGGCCCCTTCTCATTCCCCAGTCCTGGACTCTTTCTTACCTCTGAGCCTGAACCCTGTGCTTCCCTCCGGATGAAGATATCCACCCCTCCACCCCCCACCCCCATCTTCCTTTCCTGGGCCACTTCCTGCATGCTCCTCTGCATGAGACATGGCTGTCTCACCACTTCTGGAGTCGCCTGGTTCTGCCCTCACCTAGGAGTTGGGTGAGGATTGCATAGTGGGCCCCTCCACCATAATGGGGGTGTTGCTCACCTTTGCACAAGAGGCCCAAAGTCGGGAGCCAGGCTCACTTCCCCCTGGGAGGGGTACATGGACACCAGCCTGGACACAGCCAGAGGGACCCAAGTTTGGAAACTCACTTTGATTTTGTCCTTGATCTCCTAGGATTTGACATATCTTGATCTCCCTAGGCCTCAGTTTCCCTGTGATGCCACCAAATGCTCACAGCTAGGGAAACTGGATCCTCATCAAACAGTAGTTCAGCAACTTGGGTGAGGGAAGGAGGCTGGGGAATTGGGTAGACCAGCAGCCGATGCAGAACCGGGAGTGGTCTGCTGGGGGCGCCAGAGGACTCTGCTGCTTCGGGAATCCACGCGACTTTCTGGAATTTGGTCTGGCCCTGTGGTTTGGAAACTGTTGGAGCAATGGAATCCTCCATCTATCTGTCTGTCTAGCTCGCTGGCCAGTTCACAGTGTCACTGTGCGGGGCTGGGGAGGGGCTGTGATTGGGGTTTGGGGCTGTGTTGCGTGACCAGGCAACTTCCTCCGGCTCCTCCTTCTTAGGGCAGTCAGGGCAGGAAGGCTTTCGCTTTCGAAGGCTCCAGAAAAACGCATTGGTTTCGCAGGGAAGCTGGGCTCGGTACTGCGGTGAGTGTGGCCGGGTGTGTTGGGGCCTCTGGGAGAGCGGCTGGGTGGATGGAGCGTGGTCTGCAATTGTCTCTCACCCTTTCCAGATAGGTGAAGAGTCAATCATGAGCTGGTTCCAGAAACAGCTAGGCTGGAACACGAAGGTGAGAGCCACACCCCCTACCCCCCATCTCCACAGACCCCTCACTGTTGTCTTTTCTCTTCTCTCCCCAGAACTATAGCAGCAGCCAGGGGCTACAAATGCCCATAGGCATCCCCATTGCACTTGGAGTCCTGGCCCTCCTCGCCCTGCTGGCCCTGGCCTGTAACTGCCTCGCAGAGGTGCCTGCTCCCCCGACCCATGCCCTCCAGACCTCCCCTGTGCTGGCTGCTCCCCCACCTCACACAGCTCTCTGTGCCCCCAGGCCTGGAAATCCAAATGGAGGCCCTGCTGCCAGAGGTGGTGGCACCTTCGCCCTGGAGATGACCTGCAGCTTGTATCCCTTCAAAGCTAGGATGAGTGGCAACTGGGAGCCCTCTCCACAGAGCCCAGCTCGCTATAGCTGCCTTCCCCTCCATCCCTCAAGGGACCCTCAGCTTTGGATCAGAGAAGAATAGAGTGTTGGCCTAGCACCTAGCAAACACTCAGAAATAATATGTTAATATGGATATTGTGGCTTGAGTCCATGAGGGAAGGGCAGCAGCATGCTGGGGGACATAAGGAGGGTAGCAATCAGGAACAGTTGCCCTCCCCCAGCTGTGGCATGGACTCCTCACCCCAGTGTGGCAGAGATTCTGTTGCTCTCACTTTTAGCAGTAGCCTCTCTTTTGGGGAAAACAGGGTTACCCAAAGGACAGCCAGGAGCTGGAAGAGTCACTGGGGAATGGCAGAGTGGGGAGAGGGGAGGTCAGGTATTGC